TTGCTTTCTCTGAGAGGTTTTAAACATCTAACCCAAAATGCAGACCTAATGCGATCAAGTCATCCTTTTTAACGTATCAAAAACCTGAACACTTGGTGAACTAAGAAAGTCTGTGACCGAAAATACCATGTTGATTTTTGCTGGCTTATAGTCAAATTTAACAGTTCAACAAACAAAATTCTGACAATAAACTGCAAAAGTGCAAGAAATTCTTTATCCCGCACGAGCCCCCAATTCTGTTATGGGTCAGAATTACCCGAAATGCCAGCAAAGATCAATAACACAATTTAAACTTAACAATAATTTATTTACAGTAATATATAAGTATATGAAACATAAAGTACAAACTTAGCAAGAATCTAAAAATACATACATCAGAGTGTCCGTTGCTGCACACAATGTCCCAGTGAAAATATATTCCAGTTATATCTCAATTGTGCTCATACGACAAAAGTCACTATTATTGTATATATATGCATTGAATTGACAGGGTATTTATACAGTATTATAAATCTAGAAAATTCTAGAAGTTGTAAGTACATGATATTACTGGAACAATCTGGACATACACAAAATTTAAGAATGTTCTAGATAAAATGACCGAACATGTTGACCACTCTGGAACGTTCAAGAAACTTAATGTTACTAATTATATACATAATGAAACAATACACATCTCACAACAATACTGTATTTTTTTTTTGCAGAATAAATGTTGTACATTGTACTTTTAGTATTCTGATTAAAATGCAAATTACATTGTAATTTGCATTTTAATCAGAATACTAAAAGTACAATGTAACATGAAAGCATAAAGTTGAATATGATTTCAAAGGGTTTAAAAGCAAATGACATTTTGAGTAAATATGTTTGTGATTAGCTTTATATGAACTACCTATTCATAAAAAAAACCCTGTATTATCAGTAATACTCAGCATGCTTTGGAAATAAGTTTTGTTTGATTAATCCTTTAGAGAAATATTGAGTGCTTTTTATAACAATGATAACTGAAGCATACACTTCATTTGTGAAAAAGAATATACACGTTTACATATATTTACAGGAGAGCTTGCAACAGCCATCAGAAACCAAACGGATCTGTTTTTCGGCCTTTATCATTCCCTGTTTGAATGGTTTCATCCTCAGTATCTACAGGACAAGGCCAACAAATGGCAGACTCAGAAGTTTGTGGAGGTAGGAGGCAAGAAAAAGTCCTTTAAGTTTATTGTAAACAAACTATTCCTGTAGAAGTACTTATTTCCTTGTGGTACATGTATTAATTAACACTATGTTCATGATCACAAACTTTCCGGGGATTTTCATCCCATCATACTTAATATACGTAAATGGCATATAGTGAAAGTCTAAGAAATGTGCATAATTTTCTACTTGCAAATTAAACAGAAATAGATATAACACAGAATTATGAACCCATGGAAAAAAGAATCTTTTCAGTATTCATGTCATCTTTTTTTTGCAATTCATCGGTTTGAAATCAATTCGCAAAAATTAGTTTTTGTGACTGAGGAAACATTCTCTATAAATACAAAGCAAAATAAATTTTTTGTGGATATTGATATTTGTGAGGAAAGCAGGTTGAAAAGCTCATGGATATTTCTCACACATGAATAAAAATTGGTTTTTAGTATACTTTAAATGTATTATATTTAGCGGAAAGTGATTTTTCATCAAGTTAACGTAGATTTGATTTAGCGCATTTCTTCATGTTCTTATTCATTTATCAATGTTTAAGACATTTAGCGATGTACTTATATTAGCGGAAGTACCTTTCCGCCAAAAGCGCTAAAAAAATACACCGCCGAATGTAATATGTAATATGTAATACAGTATTCTTCTCTACACTAGTATTACATGTAGTTACCATCTCAAACACCAGTATTTGTAAGGATAATTGGTAAAATGGAAGTTTAGTTTTTTCAAGTTTCATGCAGCAGGTTTCAATCTGTTTTTTAACAACCATTTTTATATATTTAGAGTAAAACAATGCCGGAGCTGTACGAGATTGTGAACCGGTACAAACCGGACGTGATCTGGTCCGACGGAGACTGGGAAGCACCAGATACTTACTGGAATTCTACAAACTTCATAGCCTGGCTGTACAACGATAGGTTAGAATATCCACACTCTTCATAGCCTGGCTGTACAATGATAGGTCAGAATATCCAAACAAACTTCATAGCCTGGCTGTACAACGATAGGTCAGAATATCCACAAACTTTATAGCCTGGCTGTACAACGATAGGTCAGAATATCCACAAACTTTATAGCATGGCTGTACAACGATAGGTCAGAATATCCAGACACTTCATAGTCTGGCTGTACAATGATAGGTTAGAATATCCACAAACTTTATAGCCTGTCTGTACAATGATAGGTCAGAATATCCACACACTTCATAGCATGGTTATACAATGATAGGTCAGAATATCCACAAACTTTATTAGCATGGTTGCACAATGATAGGTTAGAATATCCACAAACTTTATTAGCATGGTTGTACAATAAGGGTTTAGAATATCCACAAACTTTATAAGCCTGGCTGTACAATGATAGGTCAGAATATCCACAAACTTCATAGCCTGGCTGTACAATGATAGGTCAGAATATCCACACAAACTTTATAGCCTGGCTGTATAATGATAGGTCAGAGTATCCGCACAAACTTTTTAGCCTGGCTGTACAATGATAGGTTAGATTATCCACAAACTTCATAGCCTGGCTGTACAGTGATAGGTCAGAATATCCACACACTTCATAGCCTGGCTGTACAGTGATAGGTCAGAATATCCACACACTTCATAGCCTGGCTGTACAGTGATAGGTCAGAATATCCACACACTTCATAGCCTGGCTGTACAATGATAGGTCAGAATATCCACAAACTTCATAGCCTGGCTGTACAATGATAGGTCAGAATATCCACAAACTTCATAGCCTGGCTGTACAATGATAGGTCAGAATATCCACAAACTTCATAGCCTGGCTGTACAATGATAGGTCAGAATATCCACAAACTTCATAGCCCCTGGCTGTACAATGATAGGTCGGAATATCCACAAACTTCATAGCCTGGCTGTACAATGATAGGCCAGAATAAATCAGTTGAGATCAGAATTGTGTCCAAACAAGTCTTAATGACTGTTAATTGAGAGTTCAGTATTTTGTACATAAGCGGAAAGATTGTGTTGGTAAACTTTTTCACAAGTAAAGTTTATATTAAATTAATAGATTCATTTTTAGCTCTACTGGTCAGAGACCAGAAGAGCTTATGCGATAGTAATGCGTCCGTCCGTCCGTCTGTCTGCCTGTCTGTAAACAATTTTTCAAAATGCTACTCCTCCTACAGTTTTGGTCCGATTTCCATATAACTTGGCACACAAGTAGACTACACTAAGATACATAATTCTGTGCATCGGTTTTTGATTTCGATGAATGGTGTTGCCATGGTTACTAAAAATAGAAATTTCTGTAAAATTCTTTCAAAATGCTACTCCTCCTACAGTTTTGGTTCGATTTCAATATAACTTGGCACACAAGTACACTACACTAAGATACATAATTCTGTGTATCGGTTTTTGATTTTGATTAACGGTGTTGCCGTGGTTACTAAAAATAGAAATTTCTGTGAAAGTCATTCAAAATGCTACTCCTCCTACAATTTTGGTCTGATTTTAATATAACTTGGCACACAAGTAGACTACACTAAGATACATAATTCTGTGCATCGGTTTTTGCTTTCAATGAACGGTGTTGTCAAGGTTACTAAAAATAGAAATTTCTGTGAAATTCTTTCAAAATGCTACTCCTCCTACACTTTGGGTCCAGTTTCAATATAACTTGGCACACAAGTAGACTATACTAGGATACATAATTCTGTGCATCGGTTTTTGATTTTGATGAGTGGTAAGGATCATTTTTTTTTTACTTATTGCTGTTTTAAAGTCTCAAGTACCAACTGATACTTTTCTCTTCCTTTGTTTTAAGTATAAACCAGCAGAGCTACAGTCTCGACAGAGACTTCTGGTTCAGATACACAGTCAAAATTAAAGAAAAAATATTTTTTTACTGAGAAAATGCAATGAACTTATGATACATGCATGTATTTGATTCTGTATGTGTATTCTAATATAGATTTTCTTTTTTTATTGCAGTCCTGTGAGAGAAAATGTCGTGACCAATGATCGATGGGGTCAAGGGGTCATGTGCAAACATGGAGGATTCCTCACCTGCTCAGACAGGTATAACCCAGGTAAGACATGTTAGATTAAATTATGTAATAGTGGAGATTATTTTAGATATGTACATTGTTGTCCTAACATCAAATCTTTTTTAAGAAAAAATATCTGAAGTTATTTAAGGTTTCTTGTTATTTAAAAACGTTTTTTTTACATAAACAGGAAAGTTGCAAAAGAGAAAATGGGAAAATGCCATGACAATTGATAAGCAATCTTGGGGTTACCGTAGAAACACAAAGCTGTCAGAATTTCTGACCACGGATGAGCTCATTGGAACACTGGTGGAAACAGTCAGGTATATAAATAAATCACCTTGAGTCTTTAAGTCAGAGGTGAAGGTCAAATCAGATATGAGCTGCATTTTTGAGAATTTTATTTTGCTGATAAAATGTGTCATTATGATTAATCTGTATGTTATCTAAACCCTTATGATCAATGAAACCAAAAAAAAGTTTAAAAATGTTTCAGAAGAAACATTTCTGTACAACCGAATATACAGTTTTATATAAGAAATCATTATTGTACACGACGACAATAATTCAATTTTGCTTAAATCATCGTGTATAAAAAGTTCTTTAATAGCAAATATGAGCAACAGAAGTTTATAAATGTTCTATTTTTCTGTCATTGAAATAGTTAATTACAAATTTGCAACATTTTTTTCCGATGTCAAACATGCAGCTCATATTGCTTTAAGATATTGAACACAAAGACAAACATTTTGCCAGTAAAATTATTCCTATTCAAGTAAAAGTCCCTTTCATGCTAATGCCCCTTTACAACAAAATGGCCCCCTCTTACTGATGTCTCCTATACCATGTTAACCAGCTAATATTGACATCCACTGAATATTTTCTCCTTTATTTCTTAAAGAAAACCCATTGCGTTAATCACTGCATGAACTACATTAGGCATATCGCCTGTACAGATTTCTAGATCAATGGCTGTTCCATCAATGAAACGTATAAAGACGTTCGCATAATTATTACAATAATTAAACTTTTCAATCCTTCTTTAAATGATTATTTAAACAGATATAAATATAAACAATAAAATGTCTTTCTTTGTTTGTTATTACTGGAATTAACGGTCACAGCTATTGCAGAAAAAATTTACATAACACGCTTACGCGGGTTATGTATTTTTTCTGCAACAGCTGCCTCCATTAATTCCAGTAATAACAAACAAAAAAAGCATTTTATTGTTTAAGTAACCAGTCTGCTCTCCTTTTCAGCTGCGGGGGAAACATTCTGGTTAACGTGGGTCCCACCAGTGACGGTAAGATTATACCGGTGTTTGAGGAGAGGCTGAGAGAAATGGGACAATGGCTGAAGGTCAACTCTGAGGCTATTTATGGAACTTATCCTTGGACGTACCAGAATGATACCATTACTCCCAATGTCTGGTACAGTATGATTGGTTATTGCAGGGTTATAGCATAGCTTCATAGGACTTTCTGAATATTCATTAGGTTAGATAATTTTTAACATTACTGCATCCAAGGTTGCATGTTGTTAACAAGTGTGCTTTGCTTTGTGTGATTTAGTTTTTTTTTACTTGTTCTAGTGTATTTTCTGCTTTTTAAAAAAACATATGCTGTCGAATATGAAGTGTAAAACACACATTTTACTTAAAATTTTATACTGGATTTTAGAGAACATTAACAATCTCAAATTTTTAAGTTCATGATTTAAGGACAAAAAATTCCCAACAATTTATTAATATTTCTAACAGATTTTGATCCAGATTCTGAATAAAAATATCTTTCCCATTTTAAGCTGATGATGGGAGATGTTTTTCCTCAAACAGGTATACAGCTGTAAAAATAAGCATGGAGCAAATGTTGTACGCAGTATTTCTAGACTGGCCTGCCAATAAAACGATTCACCTCGGAGTTCCTAAAACAGCGGAATGGACCACTGTATATTTAGTGGGCCATGAAGACAAGCCAGTGAACTTTACCACCCTACACCCACAGGGGGTTCTGTTAGAGATCCCCCAAATCCCCACCAAGGAGCTGCCATGTCAGTGGGCCTGGACATTTGTGTTTCAGGGAGTGCTGAAGTGATCCAGTGACCCAGAAAACATTACAGCAACATTTCTTCTCATAATTTCAGACAGTGATTAACCATTCAATAATTTTAGGCTTCTCATTTTTCACATTTCTTCCATGCATGTTATATAGATGTAATAATTTGATAATTTGTAATAGATCTTTACTGGTGCTTGTTTATTAATTAGTGCATGTCGAATTTTTATTAGCTCACCTCAACAAAGTTGGGGGAGATTATGTAATACCCTTGGCGTCGGCGTCCCATATTAAGGTTAAGTTTTTAGCTCACCTGAGCTGAAAGCTCAAGTGAGCTTTTCTGATCACATTTTGTCCGGCGTCCGTCTGTCTGTCCGGCGTCCGTCTGTCTGTCTGTAAACTTTTCACATTTTCGACTTCTTCTCAAGAACCGCTGGGCCAATTTCAACCAAACTTGCCACAAAGTATCCTTGGGTGAAGGGGATTCAAGTTTGTTCAAATGAAGGGCCACGCCCTCATTCAAGGGGAGATAATTGGGAATTAATGAAAATTTGGTGGCATATTTTAAAAATCTTCTTCTCAAGAACCACTGTGCCAGGAAAGATGAAACTTATGGGGAAACATCCTCAGGTCGTGTAGATTCAAGTTTGTTCAAATCATGACCCCTGGAGGTAGGGCGGGGCCAAAATGGCCAACCAAAGTTTTACATAGAAATATATAGGAAAATTTTTTTAAAATCTTCTTCTCAAGAATGACAAAGCCATAATTCATCATATTTATATGGAAGCATGCTCAGGTAGTGTAGATTCAAGTTTGTTCAAATCATGACCCCCGGGGGTAGGGCGGGGCCAAAATGGCTGACCAATGTTTTACATAGAAATATATAGGAAATTTCTTTAAAAATCTTCTTCTCAAGAATGACAAAGCCGTAATTCATCATATTTATATGGAAGCATGCTCAGGCAGTGTAGATTCAAGTTTGTTCAAATCATAACCCACGGGGGTAGGGCGGGGCGAAAATGGCCGACCAAAGTTTTACATGGAAATATATAGAAAAATTCTTTAAAAATCTTCTTCTCAAGAATGACAAAGCCATAATTCATCATATATATATGGAAGCATGCTCAGGTAGTGTAGATTCAAATTTGTTAAAATCATGACCCCCGGGGGTAGGGCGGGGCCAAAATGGCCGACCAAAGTTTTACATAGAAATATATAGAAAAATTCTTTAAAAATCTTCTTCTCAAGAATGACAAAGCCATAATTCATCATATATATATGGAAGCATGCTCAGGTAGTGTAGATTCAAATTTGTTCAAATCATGAGCCCCTGAGGTAAGGCGGGGCCAAAATGGCCGACCAAAGTTTTCAAAGATATATATAGGAAAATTCTTTAAAAATCATTTTCTAAAAAATAGCAAATACATGATTGGTCATGGGACTACTTTTGGATTTAAACTTTACAATAAAAACCATTTTCTACTTTTTCTTAGCCTTAGTGCTCAGGTGAGCGATTTGGCCCATGGGCCTCTTGTTTGAGTTTTCCTTTTAAGTACTTTTATGTCCTATATTGATTAGACATGCATGGAAGATGCTTCTAGTGTGTTTCATTGCACCAGTCAAAGTTTCAGATGCTGCAATTTCAGCAAAGGAATGACCAGGTTAATGTTTTTGGAGCAGGTTAACATTTTTGGTGTAGTTTTTAGCTCACCTGAGCCGAAGGCTCAAGTGAGCTTTTCTGATCAAAATTTGTCCGTTGTCTGTCGTCGTCGTTGTCGTCGTTGTTGTTGTCGTAAACTTTTCACATTTTCATCTTCTTCTCAAGAACCACTGGGCCAATTTCAACCAAACTTGGCACAGAGTATCCTTGGGTGAAGGGGATTCAAGTTTGTTCAAATGAAGGGCCACACCCTTTTCCAAGGGGAGATAATCATGAATTTGTTAAAAGTAAATGGCATTTTTAAAAAACCTTCTTCTCCAGAACCACTGGGCCAGGAAAGATGAAACTCATGTGGAAGCATCCTCTGGTAGAGTAGATTCAAGTTTGTTCAAATCATGACCCCCGGGGCAAGGGTGGGGCCAAAATGGCCGACCCAAGTTTTACATAGGAAAAATCTTTAAAAATCTTCTTCTCCAGAACCACTGGGCCAGGAAAGCTGAAACTCCAGTGGTATCAGTGACTGGTTTTGTTGAGTGTTGTGTTTAGATCTCATGACCCCCGGGGCAAGGGTGGGGCCAAAATGGCCGACCCAAGTTTTACATAGGAATATATAGGAAAAATTTTTAAAAATCTTCTTCTCCAGAACCACTGGGCCAGGAAAGATGAAACTCATGTGGAATCATCCTCAGGTAGTGTAGATTCAAGTTTGTTCAAATCATGACCCCCGGGGCAAGGGTGGGGCCAAAATGGCCGACCCAAGTTTTACATAGGAATATATAGGAAAAATCTTTAAAAATCTTCTTCTCCAGAACCACTGGGCCAGGAAAGATGAAACTCATGTGGAATCATCCTCAGGTAGTGTAGATTCAAGTTTGTTCAAATCATGACCCCCGGGGCAAGGGTGGGGCCAAAATGGCCGACCCAAGTTTTACATAGGAATATATAGGAAAAATCTTTAAAAATCTTCTTCTCCAGAACCACTGGGCCAGGAAAGATGAAACTCATGTGGAATCATCCTCAGGTAGTGTAGATTCAAGTTTGTTCAAATCATGACCCCCGGGGCAAGGGTGGGGCCAAAATGGCCGACCGAAATTTTACATAGGAATATATAGGAAAAATCTTTAAAAATCTTCTTCTCCAGAACATCTGGGCCAGGAAAGATGAAACTCATGTGGAATCATCCTCAGGTAGTGTAGATTCAAGTTTGTTCAAATCATGACCCCCGGGGCAAGGGTGGGGCCAAAATGGCCGGCCCAAGTTTTACATAGGAATATATAGGAAAAATCTTTAAAAATCTTCTTCTCCAGAACATCTGGGCCAGGAAAGATGAAACTCATGTGGAATCATCCTCAGGTAGTGTAGATTCAAGTTTGTTCAAATCATGACCCCCGGGGCAAGGGTGGGGCCAAAATGGCCGACCCAAGTTTTACATCGGAATAAATAGGAAAATTATTTAAAAATCTTCTTCTCCAGAACCACTGGGCCAGGAAAGATGAAACTCATGTGGAATCATCCTCAGGTAGTGTAGATTCAAGTTTGTTCAAATCATGACCCCAGGGGCAAGGGTGGGGACAATATGGCCGATCCAAGTTTTACATAGGAATATATAGGAAAAATCTTTAAAAATCTTCTTCTCCAGAACCACTGGGCCAGGAAAGATGAAACTCATGTGGAATCATCCTCAGGTAGTGTAGATTCAAGTTTATTCAAATCATGACCCCCGGGGCAAGGGTGGGGTCAAAATGGCCGACCCTAGTTTTACATAGGAATAATTATAGGAAAAATCTTCTTCTCCAGAACCACTGAGCCAGGAAAGATGAAACTCATGTGGAATCAACATCTGGTAGTGTAGATTCAAGTTTATTCAAATCATGACCCCCGGGGCAAGGGTGGAGCCAAAATGGCCGACCCTAGTTTTACATAGGAATAATTATAGGAAAAATCGTTAAAAATCTTCTTCTCCAGAACCACTGAGCCAGGAAAGATGAAACTCATGTGGAATCATCCTCAGGTAGTGTAGATTCAAGTTTATTCAAATCATGACCCCCGGGGCAAGGGTGGGGCCAAAATGGCCACCCAAGTTTTGCATAGGAATATATATACATAGGTCTATTCCAAAGTATCAGATCAAAATTGCATAAATATTTTCATTTTGAGGTGTACACTTTTTGTTGGTTAATTGTGTGACTTTGCCTCACTTAAAGACAACATTCGTTGAGGTGAGCTCTGTAATCTCTGATTACCTGTGTTTTATTTTATTTTACCGTTTAACATATGTAATGGAAAATAATTTTTATGCTTTGTCATAACAATACATGTATTGTTGTTAAAGAACTAGTTTCACTTTATGTATAGAATGGCCCTGTCAATAAACCTTTAAATAATTGTTGATAACATCTAAAAATTCAACCATGAATATTAAAAGTAGTCTATTATAACCAAGCAGTAACTATTAAAAAGGTTATGGACAAGGTTAAAGATTTTTATATGTAGGTCAAACTCAAAGGTCAAATTTAAATGTTATAAAAAGGTCTCTTCACAATGAATATACAAGTGAAGTATGAAAACCCAAACATAAACTGTTCAAAAGTTATGGACAAGGTTAAAATTGGGTAAATTCTTTCAAAATTGGGTCAAGAGGTCAAATATGTTGGTACCCAAACAAAGATTTTGTCACAATTACATTTGTGAAATATGAGAGCCATATAGCTCCATTAAAATCATTATTGGCAATGTCAAAGTTTTTGACAGGGCAAAAACTTTATACACATGTGGCACCAAATTTTTGTTTGGGGGGGGGGGGCATAAAAACAGACATTGTCAAATGATTAGTTGTTGATTTTTACAGATTAATGATGCATCTCATCAAGAAAGAAGTAAAATATGAGTTAATTCCTTGATCACCAAAGTAAAACATTTTATAAACTTTGCTGTGACATTTCTTCATTTTATTATTGTACCAAGCTTTTGCAAATTTTATAGCAAGGAGACATTAAATGTCATTTATTCATCAATCTATCCATCTGTCACAAAAACTTTAATATTGTTCATAACTTTTGAATGAAAAGAGATAGGTTTTCATGTTTGACATGTACATTACCTGTGACAAGTCTTTTTCAAATATACTATGAATTTTGACCTTGTGACCTTATCCTTGAAGTTTGACACATTTTTTCAAATTAAATTATCCACCTTACATTTAATTTGTCATAACTTTTGAAAGAGAAAGATATGATGAACATATTACACATGTATTACCTGTGAAGACCTTTCTTTGTATACTATGAATTTAACCCTGGCGACCTTGAACTTTAACCTACTGTAAATAACTTTTTATTTGCGAGAACTTTATTTTCGCGTAATTAAGTGAGTCTGTCTGCTCGCAAAAGTTTTATTCTCACGTATATTTGTGTTATTAATATTTATATAAAACAACAACCACAACTCGCGAAAATTTTGTCTCGCTTATAAATACCACATACATGTAGCTAAGTCGCGAAAATAAGGTGTCGCGAAAATATAGTGATCTACAGTACCTTTTCTTTTCTTCATAATTTTTCCTAGAGAAGATGAGATAGAGGTTTCATATTTGACATAAGCATTACTTGCAACAAGATGTTTCTTAGCATGCTATATGATTTTTAACCCCTTGACCTTCATGTTTGATGACTTAATTTTCAAAAAAAAAACTTTGTTGATTAATTTTGGATGATATTTGAAAGGGTCTTTGTATTAGACACAATATGCCATATATAATTGCATCCCATCTACTAAGACACAAAACAGGGGACCACAATTCTTTGAATTTGCTTGTTTTGAATATATTCCATATTGACCTTTAAACCTAATATTTCTGGTACACCACAGGTACACAAAACAGAAGATAAGCAGTACTACCGCTGTCTACGCCATCGTACTGGACTGGCCGACCAATGGCACGCTCCGGCTCGGGGCACCAAAGTTAGACAACACGGGGGTCATTTACCTGCTGGGGTACCAACAGCAGATCAAATTCACACGAGAGGCTCAAGGAGGGATAACCATTCAACTTCCTGTGTTTACTGATGGCAAAATGCCGTGCAAGTATGCCTGGGCATTCAGAATGCTGGGGGTTCAGAATTAGATATTTACTTAGGAAACATTGTGATGCCATGTGTGATAATGCATTATTTACCTTTTTATGATACAATTTTTCTTTTTTTTTATTTCTGAGGGTATTTAACAAAAAATTCTAATACCCGGTAGATAAGGTATATCTTAGCTTGAGGGTCTAATGTACATTTCCTTAGGTTAGTGTATTTTTCTGTATTTTACAAGTGTCTTTCTGCATTTCACAAGATTATACGTATATATTTTGTCAATGTATTAAATATATTTTTGTATCTATATACAAATATCTTCTTATTGTTTCATTTACATGTAATGTACATAGAGGTATATATCATTAATTAAAGTATGTTGTGCAATATTTGTTATATATCTCTCACACTACT